CCAAGGCTACACAGGAGGGGTGTGTGGACAAGAAATCCAATCCCTGTCGGCAGCTCCTGCGTACGGCAACGAACAGCACGTATTACAAGTAATTTAGCTTTCGATGTCCCGTGTAAGTACCAAAGCACGTGGTTCAGCCTTGTAGCCGGTCACGAGGAAAACTTGACCCACAGCTTCACGCACGAGGTGTTGCGACACGTCATTCCATGTACGTACACTGACATGTTCGTGGTTGCCAACCTCCGTGAGAGGTTGTGCCAGCGGACTCCCACCTCTTCTTGCACGAGGACGACGACAAGAGTGCCCAGGACAACAAAAGCAATCTTTGGCAAGATGTGGCGCATAGAACCCTCCGTTGACAAGGCCCCTCACGCATAAATATTTTCTACCACGAGCATTACCTTATTTTTTGCTCGTTTTATCCAAAGAACACTCCACACTTATTCCATTCGCCGTACACTGCGACACAACCCCGAACAACCACACACATGATCTACGTTATTACCAAAGTTGGGTGCACACGCTCAGCCTAGTTGAACTGCTGCGCAGCGTATCACCGTGCCCGCCGCAAAGTCTAAAAGGCCAACGGTGCTGCCCATGGACTCTGCGGTGACGCTTGGGGCGGCAGCAGCAATGGAATCAGCATGATGTACAAGATGTGGCCATGAACAAAGCGAAGAGTCGGGTTATTCGCTGTTGGTACGTACACCAAGGCTGTAAACTGCGACCGGGGCGGCAACTCACGGGCGCTAACCCTCACGCGCCCCCGATACCCCTTCGCTGGGGGGGACGCGACCCCGACCATAATGCCATCTGACTAGAGTAGCGTTTCCGGCTACCTGCCCTTGGTAGCTGATGACCTTCCGCTTGAAATACATGCTCGGGATCTTTACACTTCGTATATACGCATTTCCTCCGTCAGTTAGACTATATATACCGTCATATGTTGCTATTATAGGTGATGGATCATCGCCTTTCTTTGTCATGGGTGGTAAGCATAGCGCGGGTATGCATCCAGTTTACACGAGGTTGAACGGTAAGGACAGGCGCCGCAGGTGAATGGCTTACGAGTACCAGCCATGCGCAGTGTTGCATCGCGTTACCCGCTGTGTGCCCCCGAGAAAGAGAGTGGCTGCCGAGAGGAAGAAAATGCCGGGTGCCGAACCCAAAGTGTCCACAACGAGGAGTACGTATGCATACATCTAACAGAGGGAGTTTTGCAATTTCCAACGTCGTTCCCTAGTCTAGGTACCCACGCCCCAATGGGTGCCCATGGGCATTGTACCCATGGGTACCCATGGTGGGTACAATGCCCATGGGTACCCATGGGTGCCCATGGGTACAATGCCCATGGGTACCCATGGGTGCCCATGGGTACAGTGCCCATGGGTACCCATGGTGGGTACAATGCCCATGGGTACACATGGGTGCTCTGGGC